ATCACTAAACAGAATGTGACAATATTGTTAAGCTTTGACTTATAAGCTCCCCTGGCCCAATTTCCAAATAGTTTTGAGTAAAACTGAATTGAGGGAGTTTAAAAAACAATTCCAAACACAGTTTGAGAAAAAGAATAATTTCTGCTATTCTGTAACACAAGGGGGTTGACTATAATTTAATATATCCATTATATATCTTATGGAAGAGGTGATCTGAAATACCCAAATATACAGACACAATAAGGAAATAGAAATGGTAACTACCACAACTTGATCAGGGTACATACACAGTTATACATCTGTTGAATAATCACACTAAACCTTGCAAATATTCACATTTTCTATGTATTAGGCAGAGCAAAACAAAAGCGATAAAAAATGCCATGAAATTACCATGTTAAATGAAAATTATCAAATTTCTTTATGGTAATGAAACTATTCAGACTACTGTCAGAACTATGTGAGTGGACAAAAATAGTATGAGAACTTCAGCATCATTTTAATCTATGAATATTTTACCTTCAAAGAAAAGCACCATTTTTTTCCTTTTGTTTCATTTATATAATAATGACATTGAACAAGATTTTCATGTATTTTTGTTAATGTATATCTTTATGTTGGAAAACTGTTCATTTACCGTGTGTGTGTGTGTGTGTGTGTGTGTGTGTGTGTGTGTGTGTGTGTGTGTGTGTGTGTGTGTGTGTGTGTGTGTGCTGGTCCTGGGGCTTTAACTGAAAGCCTGGGAGCCGTCCTTGATCTTTTCACTCAAGGCTAAGGCTCAACCACTTGAGCCATAGCTCTAGTTCAGCTTTTGGTGAGTTAATTGGAGATAGATGAGAGAGTGGCTTCAAACCTCAGATCTCAGCCTCCTGAGTAACTAGGATTATAGCGTGAACCACCAGCACCCGGCTCTTCATTTCTCATGTATACTTTAATCATATTCACCCTCTGGCCTACCCATTCTTATTCTCACTCTTCCTTTTCTCTGTGAATTTCCCTACTAGTTCCCTTTTTATTCCCATGTCCATTTTGGACACTAAATTTAATTAAATTTTAGGAAGGCAAGTGATAGACACTGAACTCAGATGCCAGCCAAGCCTTGAGTAGAATCTTGAGGAATTTTTTAGTTTTATTTTACTGCAAAGATGCTGTACAAAGGGGTTACAGTTACCTGATTAAGGTCATGAGTACATTTCTTGTCAAGCATTGTTACCCCTTCCTTTTAGGAATTTTGTATAAATATAAAATAAGGTAAAAAAAATCTGGGAAAAAATTTAGGAAGGCTTCTTCCTCCTTTTTTTAGGTACAAGATAAGGACTCAAACTGGGTACCTGATGCTTTCATTCATTGGGTAGGACTCGACCAATGGAGCCCCACCTCCAGCTACCCACCGGAAGTCTTCTTTTTCATCAATGAAGTATGATGCTTTAAGCTATCAGAACCACCACTGGAATGAACTGGTTTACCCAGTGCATTCAGATGCCACATCACTTAAGAATAAGAGTCAGTTCCATAGTTCGCTGGCTGAGTCATTTTCCATAGTTTTCCAGTTTTTCCATACCTTGTTCCCTGATGTCTAAAATTAAAAAAAAGAGTAATTTCTAGTTCATTTAGATTGTGGAAGGCTTTGTTGAAATTAATACATTCAAAAAGCATCAGTGTCCAGCAACCACAGAGTTATATCGTATTAGTCAATGTATGTATTATTGTAAAGGATCTGGAGCATACTTTAAGAGATAATACATAGGTTATAAAAGGGGAAATAAAAGAAAAACAGCAATTGGAAAGGACTTGTCCCCCAGTAATCTAGGCATCTAGGTATGCCACATTCATTCATGTCCATCTATCTGAAATAGAAGAAACCAATAAATGGTAAATAGTTGGGAGAGCAGAGGAAACCCAGTAATACCTATCCTTCGATCTATAAAAGGAACAAAGAATTCTAATATAGAGGTCCCCCATCTAAGAAGCACATAAAATCCTGCTTGGGTGGTGATATGGGGGAGAGGTGTTGTTCTCGTTCTTCTACCAAATAACTGCAATAGCTGTGCTGTGCCATATAAAGAGCCATTTGTAAGGCCTCTGATCCATGACATATACCAGTGACTTGAAAATATATTCTTTCTATTCCAGTTAGGAAAGAAGAACTGAAATCACCTGCATCCATGGAAATGTAGCATGTACTGAACAATAATAGTCATTTATGATTTTTACCCCAGGCAATATTAACTCTCCTATCAGCTTTCAAAATATAATCTGGAGAGATGAACAGTGTTTTAGCACCCTCTAAAACATGATTCTAGTCCTCTATATTTCTATTTATAACAGGATGTCCAGAGAAAAGGTCGTGCAAGCAGTCCCCAGAAGTCCAAAGGCCCTAATAAAGCAAATGTGCTCCGGAGAGTAAGGAATAAACTGTAACAAGATATAGGAATTTGACATTTGGGAAAGCTTGTACTGGCTCCTAAGAGCCATATATTAGCAAGCCACAAGTAATGTGAGAGCCATTCTAGAATTCCACAGCATCATTCAACAAGCGTTGTGAGTGTGACGGCGACACACTTCATGAACCAGAATGGTGATCCCACCATCATAAAAATGATAGCGAACGCTTCCAGCATTTAGTATAATATCAAGGAGAAAATGACAGCGACAACATAGCAGCTTTGTCACTTGATACACATGAAAGAACAGACTTTATGACATAGAAATGGTAATGGTGGGGAAAGGCAGCAGGAAGTACATCGGATCTACAATTGGAGGTTAATTCGGGTCCTCAGATTCAAAAGCCTGAATTGCGTGTCTTTAAAAAGTGGTGTCCTCTGTTCTGTGCCTGGTACATGACACCATACGTACAGTCCGACCCATGAGCTGGGGCTTGTCCTATCCTCTAGCAAATGAAGATAGACGGGCACAGCGGAGTTCTATCACAAAGCCCATATGGTACAGCAATTTCACTCAGGTAGAAACAAGAGAGCATAAGTCAACTGGAAATCAAAGTCTCTGAAGTCTCTTCTTTCCTCACTCCAATACATTCCTGCTGATGTCATCAATGTCCACGGGTCAGTTTCATCAATAGTCAGTCATTCCAGGCAACGCCTGCTGACCTACCATCCTTCAAAATGCAATCTGCAGAGATCTGGTCCATTTAGCTTTCCCTAAAACATGATGCTAGTCCAGTCTATTCATAGTAGAATAACCAGGGACAAGGCCATACAAGCAGCCACCAAGTGTTCTTAATGTCTGTTTGGGGGAAATCGCCATATGGATTTCCATGATGGCTAGACTCTCATACATGTCTACCAACATTGCATGAAGTTCCTTTTCTCCCACATTCTCACTGACATCTGTTTTTAATGTTTGTTCAATTATGGCCATGTTGATGGGGTGAGGTGGAATCTCAAAGTACCCTACCTTCCACAATCATTAGGGTCCCCACATGCAGAAGCATATATACCTTTTACTCAATATAACAATGTCCCCTCTTTATTTAGCATGTACAACTTGTACAAAATAATAGCTTTCCTTATGAACATGCCTACAGATTTGTGATATACTTTGACCATTTTTAGCACCCTATACTCCCATTTTTCCCTTCCAAGTGCACAATAAGCCTGTTTACCTTTCAAGTCCTCTTTTTCTCCCAAATTCTACATAGAAGAAAGATGTGATACGTCAGGCACTGGTGGCTCACTCCTGTAATCCTTGCTACTCAGAAGGCTGAGATCTGAGGATCGCAGTTCAAAGTCAGCCTGGGCACAAGAAAACTAGAAATGGTTCTGTGGCTCAAGAGGCAGAGTGCTAGCCTTGAGCCGAAGAGCTGAGGGATAACACCCAGGCCCAGAGTTCAAGCCCCACAACTGAAAAAAAAAAACAGAAGTGTGATATTTTTCCTTATAGAACTGGCTTATTTCTCTTGACAAGAACATAATGTCAAACTCCATTTTAGCTGAATAATATGGTGTGTATATACCATATTTTCTTTATTCATTATTCAACAATGTGTGCTAATGCTGATACCATAACCCTGATATTGGGCAAGTGATAAAATAAATATGGAGCCATAGGTATCTCTTTAATAAACTGACTCTGATTGGGTGTAGTAGGATTATTTGCTAGTCTCAATTTCTAATTTTTTGCTTTACTTTTATGGCTAAAGTTATTAAACATATTTTCATGCATTTGTTGAATATTTAATTTTTGAATGTATATTCAGCAGTACACAGATCTACAACTGGATATTTTCCATTCTAATTGTGGTTGCACAAAATAGTTCTAAGTCAGCCTATGAGAACTTAACTTGTTTTCTTTTCTACATGACATTTCACATCACACATTTAGTTTTATGGATCAATTTTATTGACTCTATACAATGTATGCAAATGACAAATGTAAGAAAGCACATGTTCTTTCATTTGTTATTTTGTCTTTAAGATTCTTTTCATGTTTTGAGCTATCTTTTATGAGGTTAGTTTTCTTGTCTGAATTAGAAGTTATTCATACTTGAGATGGCATAAACGCTCCTATAGATTTTCTTTTAGTATGTTTGTTTATTAATATTCTTAAACCATCCCAACCTTATTTTAAAATATACATCATGACACAGAGAAATGCACAGAAACAGAAAAAAATATTTAATAACTTTTCTTTTTCTGTTGGTCCTGGGACTTGAACTTAGTGCCCAGGTACTGTCCCTGAGCTCTTTTGCTCAAGGCTAGTCCTCTATCACTGGAACCACAGCTCCACTTCTGGCTTTTTGGTGATTAATTGAAGATAAGAGTCCCATGGATTTTCCTGCCTGAGCTTGTTTTGAACCTCAGTCCTCAGATCTCAGCTTCCTGAGTAGCTAGGATTACTGGCATGAGCTACCAGCATGGCTAACTTTTCCATTTTCAAAATAATGTGTGAATCGGAGGAATCAAGACTCTCATGAAAGCTGTAATTCCCATTCAACTTGATAATGTCGAATGATCACCTCACGGTATGAAACAAATAGAATTCTATCTAACTTTAACTATTAGAAAGTGCTTCCCATCCAAGCTTCTCCTGAATGCATCTTTTACCTCCTTGTTCCTCAAGCTGTAGATGAGGGGGTTCAACATGGGGATCACCACAGTATAAAACATGGAAATCACTTTATTGATATCCAGGGAGGAACTTGAGCTAGGTCGCACATAGATAAAGAAAAGGGTGCCATACAGGATGGTGACAGCGGTCAGGTGAGAAGAACACGTGGAGAAGGCTTTCTGTCTCCCACTGTCCGTCTGGATCTTCAAGACTGCCATCAAAATGCACACATAGGAGACCATGATGACGAGACCACTGAGCACTCCGATTGCTCCAGCAAAGACAAAGAGCACCAACTTATTCATCTCAGTGTCCACACACGCCAGAGAAAGTAATGGGGAAATGTCACAGAAAAAGTGATTGATCACATGTGGACCACAGAAGGGTAAGCAAAAGGTGAAAGTCGTATGGGTGGTGGTACTTGTCAAAGCTATGGCGTAAGACTCCACAACGAGCAGCACACAGGCCTGCTGGGACATGATGAGAGGGTACAGCAGAGGCTTACAGATGGCCGTGTAGCGATCATACGCCATGGCAGCCAACAGGAAACACTCTGTTGCCACAAAGAGACCAAAGAACCACATCTGTGCAGCACAGCCTACAAAAGAGATGCTCTTTTTCTCTGCAAAGATATCACATAGCATCTTCGGAGCAATAGAAGAAGAGGAACAGAGATCTACAAAGGACAAGTGGCTAAGAAAAAAGTACATGGGGGTGTGGAGTCTGGGGTCAACCCCTATGAGAATGATCATCCCCAAGTTACCCCCCAGAGTGACTAGGTAAACAAAGAGAAAAGTGATGAAAAGGACAGCCTTCTGACAGAGATTATCTGTGAGACCCAGGAAAATAAACTCAGTCGCTACCGTCTGATTCTTTCCTTCCATGGCCAGTTGCAATCTGTCATTAGGAAGGGGAAAAAAGAGAGATTGATTGTTTTCTCAAGCCGATTTCTTTACTGAGATCATTTGCATGTCTTACAATGACTGCCTTAATTTATTAATTTGTTTACCTGTGTCTTATCTCTTTTAGCTCTTTAGGTATACCCTCTTTGAATCCATTTATTTATTTGTATTCACTTAAAATTCTTGGGACATTTATCATGTCTTTATGCTGAGTACATTCAAATTCCTCTCATATGCATTTTTATTTAATTTTGTTGTCAAGATGATGTACAAAGCGGTTACAGTTATGTATGCAAGGCAGTGAATACATTTCTTGTCAAACATTATTACCCAGTCTCATTTTCTCCAGTTTCCCTCCTCTGCAACCTCCCATCCAAGTAGCACAGTTCATTTCCAACATATTATCTTGTAAGTATCACTGTTGCACTGGTTTACCCTTTGTCTCACCATTTTGTTGTTCTCTTTCCCTTCCCTAATTCAGATAAATGTATATACAATACCCAGGGTACTATCCATCCTGAAAATCAATTACATTAATAATATATATTCAATGCCAAATGTATCTTTTATCCAGGGAAAACTCTCATGACTATATTTTTGAGTGATTCATTAGCTAAAGAGCAGCAAATAAAATTAATTAAAACTCCTTGAAAGTAGATGATTATGTATAATGATATATATGAAAATTTTAAATTATAATTATTATATATGAAATTTTTAAATTATAACTATTATCTGATGAAATTCTCTATAAGGAAAGCAACATATCACTTGCATTATATAAGATAATTTTGGAGCTCAATGTTTAATATTTTCAGATAAGTAAGAATGATTGTACCTATTTGATTGGTGACAATTTCTAACATTATCTTGATCATTTGCCTAATTCTACTTGGGCATATTTTATCCACCAAAAAGATTATTTCAAGTTTTTATTGAGACTGTTATATACAATTACATACACATATACATATATGTACAAATGAAGGCAGCATACTGAAACCCACCAAATACTGTTTGTAAAAGTGTAGATGAGGGAAAGGAGGAAGTGAAATACAATGTAGAGGTAAACCTGTTTACAATCTACTGTACACACGGATAGAATCCTCACAATGAAATCCCCTCCTATGATGAATGTATACTGATTCAAAAATAAAATTTAAAAATTGTCCAAACTGCAACGTACTCACTTCGGTAATGGTGATCTGTTCAATGCCTCTTTCCTCTACTTCAAAGGGAATGACCATTCCCTGGAAGGATAGAGGATTCTGTGTCCTTCGTGGCAGTGATTTTGTGACGATACATGACTTTCTGGGCACGTGTGAAGACATATATTCTCATCTTGGTGGGCCTGAGCAGAAAAAGATGATCCTTGACCTGCACATTGATTCATGTACTGCACAGACCAGGGACCTTTTTTTTCTGGGGGGGGGGTTACACTAATTTAGAGCTAGATCCCCTAAGAACTTAAACCTCAAGAGATTATACCTGGAGGGAAAAAATTAAGATAATTTCAATTACCATTTTGGCCAAGTACCATCTTATAATTATATCTTATTTCAAACAAAGAATACCTAAGGAAACTGTGTGTGTGTGTGTGTGTGTGTGTGTGTGTGTGTGTGTGTGTGTGTGTGTGTGTGTGT